TCAAAAAATTTTTTTGAAATTCTGCTTGTCACATCTAAAATTTGATTTACCTCCCCCACCTTACGTAGACGGACGATAGCAACGGTTACATTTCTCTACGACATTATTAATGGAAACATCGATTGCCCTCAACTGTTGGAATTGGTAAAATTTAATGTTCCTTTAAAACAAAAACTTCGTAGGCATTATACATTTTCAGTTGATGGCTATAAGTCTAACTATGCCCTGAATGGACCAATCACTCGATCACTAATTGAGAATGCTTTGGATAATATTAATTCTTTAGATTTTTCATTTAGTCGCTCTGCTTTTAAGAACTTGCTATCTTCTTACTCATGTTAAGTACTTAATTTATATTTACTCATACAATTTTCTAAATGTATTAACCCTAGAATAGTTACTTTATTTTTTATTCCTTTAATACTAACGTTCGCCTGTGACGCTACTTTGCAATAAAATTATAGTTAAAAAACTAAAAACACGCTTCTATTACAACAAGAACTAAAAAGTATAAAATAATTTATAGATATAGCGATTCCGTTTAAGAAGAATAGGAAGTTCCCTAACTTGATTTAATTTAACTTTTTTAAATTAGCTAAAAATGGGATTAAAGTGATTGGCCCGAAGTCATAGTCAAAATAAAGTCCACTGTAAAGTTAGTTGCAGCATATTGACATAATTTTCAATGCGATATCTGTAAAAAATAGCAACAAACTTTACAGTGGACTTTATTTTGACTATGACTACGGGCCAATCACTTTAATCCCATTTTTAGCTAATTTAAAAAAGTTAAATTAAATCAAGTTGGGGAACTTCCTATTCTTCTTAAACGGAATCGCTATATCTATAAATTATTTTATACTTTTTAGTTCTTGTTGTATAGAAGCGTGTTTTTAGTTTTTTAACTATAATTTTATTTTCTACTTTTTAGTTTTTTGAAATCTTGCAATTAATATTATATGTCTGTATATTTCTCATTCTGTCCATTTCTTTCAATGCGAAGAAAATTTTCGGCACCCTGCTTTTTAGCTACACTTTTCAACTAACGTTCTAGATTTGACCTTAACAAACAAAATTTTCAATGTATTTCAATTAAATAGGTAATACACATATTCTGAATATAAACCAAATCGGAGCACAGATGCCGATTTTTTAATTATATAGACTCGCGCGCCACATAGCTGCGAAAATTTTTTGTGTAGTTATTTCTTTTCATGTAAGCAATATGCATTCGAAATGTGAACTTAATCGCATCATAAATACGGGTTTTCCAAATATCTCGACTCCTGCGCCACCTATCAGCAAAATTTTTTGCGGATTTATTTCTTTTCACGCAAATAATATATGTTCTAAATATGAACCAGATCAGACTATAAATGTGGGTTTTACAAATATCTCGACTCCTGCGCCACCTAGCGGCAAATTTTTTTTTTGGATTTATTTCTTTTCATATAGTAATATATGTTCCAAATATGAACCAGATCACACTATAAATGCGGGTTTTACAAATATCTCGACTCCTGCGCCACGTAGCGGATTAAGTCATCTTTTATATTGCATTCTCCTCAAGTCTGTAGCTCATCGGGAAGTTTGTTAAATATTGACTGCAAAGTTCCAGGACATACAGAGATACATACATACATACAAGTGAAGTTAAATAAAAGCTTGTAAAAAGTACAAATTCTGTCTCTCTAAAACCTTAAATTTGTTTAAAAAAATGGGCTTAAACATATTTCATATGTTTTTAAAGTAAAAAATGAAATAATTTAATAATTTTTTTAATATTAATAAAAATAATTCGTATTGAAAATAACACATATTTTATAATCTTTTTGAAAGGGGTAATTTTAAAAAAGTAAAAAAAAAAACCATTGAAAAGCGAACGCCCCCAAACAATCCATAAATTATCTTAAAGGTATTCGTATTTACTTTCACACTTAAAAGGAATTAGTTGTTTATCTTCTCTATTGTGACCTGTACTTAAAAATGAAATCGACTTTTTTGTATCACATTGGGCCTTATGAATAAAAACTAAGCAATGTTTTTTTCTTAAAATTTCAGATCCTTTACGTAAAGTTATTCGAATAAATCAAGCAAAAGGGTTGACATCTTAAGAAAAAGCAACTGCTTAGTTTTTATTCATAAGGCGCAATCACTGAAATCTTCTTCTAAATTGTTCTCACTATCGGTTCCATTCAACGATATTTCTTCCAACCATTTTATAACTTGTTCTTCATAGGAACCCCTCTCGAAAAGTTAAAAAAAAATTAAGTTCAAAACAGAAAATAGCCAACAAACATGTTAAAAACTGAAATAAGCACAGCAAACAAAATTACCTTTACTACTAACGTTCGCCTGTCAGGCGGCAAGAGGGCGTGGAACTCAGCCGCGCAAGGCCACTGTACAATGTGCGTTTGCTAAGAGCCTCGTACAGCGCTAAGCTGAGTTGGCGCGAACGTTTACTTTGATCATTAAAAGCGTTCCTGAAATATCGCGCGGAAACCGAATTCGTTCCGCCTCACAGGCGAACGTTAGTATTCTAGGGTTAATGGCTAGTCAGTAAGAACGTACATATGTATTGTGTCATTGACTTAATAAAGAAATACAAATGCAAATTTGATTTTTATAAGTTAAAATTAAAAAACAATAACCAGTGCTGCTGAAGGTATTCCGAGTAATAAGAAATATATTGGTTTACTCCTTATGCACGTAGCATTTCTCTTTCAGTGTGATTTTTTGAGTTGAAATTTCAAAAATAATCGTTATTTGTGGTCCCTGATTCATGAATGCTAGTAAAATTCCAATAAGATTTTCTCTATCTTATCATTATATACTGGGAACTGTAGGACTCGGTAACTTATAGCCTATTTCCACCAAGAGCTTAACTGCAGTTAATAGCTCAGGTAAATTCAAGGAACGTTAACAAGGGCTGAACAGCAAATTTTATTTCTTAGTTCTTGCTTTCCTGTTTTCGATTGCTTGTACTTAAAATGAGCAATTAACTCCTTCGAGTTGTAATCTTCTTTTTCCAATAAGCAGTAACTGCAGTTAAGGCTTGGTGGAAATGAACTCTTAGTCTGGAATCAGGTGCACTAAAGTCCTCAGCTCTGGAGCGCCTTAATTTTTTTTGTACTTGACACTCGCCAGGGGAATTTTCGGCTATCACTGTAATTTGTGCGAATTCGGCCGCCGGAGGGGCAGAAGTTTTCAGTTTAAAATAAACAGCTCGTTATTTTTTACAGAATGCATTCGGATCGTAGCACTTTTTATTGTAGTAATAATTTTTTTCTTCTGGTGATTCACCGACATTGAAAATACAGTTTTTCTCCTAAATATGTAAATTAATTTTATCTCAAAATATGGGTCAGTAACACCGCAATCACGTTGAAACTCTAAATCATATCAAACATGCAAAATTTTGAAAGATGCAATTTGAGCCCTATTATGACTACCCTTTTGAAAGCTCGAAAATAAAACAAACAATATCTATATATGCTAGTATATGTAGTACTTATAGGGATTATGTTAGCGAATTCATACAAGGTGGTGTTACTAGATCATCTAGATGGAGTGCTCATGAGCAAAAAACCTATCATTATTCAGATCGATTGAAATTTTTTGTGAGCTTAGCTTGTTAATATATAATCGAGATCCGGAGGGCTGGCTGCTGAACAGCGGTCTTAATTATGCGTTTTTATCGATTAAATATGTAAATAAAAACCGATTACTCAACGAACTTCAGATGACTTGAAATTTGGATAGAATTTTATATAAAGTATATAGAAAATGGATTCAAGGCTGCCTGCAATTTCTTATGGTCTTAAAATACATTGTTGTTCTTTTGACAGCACATTAGTAATATTATAAATACATGAGATGTCTTCGGACAGCCTATTCTGATGGTCACATCATATGAAAAATGTCAAAAACGTAATTCCCGTTCATATGCCATGGCGTATAAGTTATCTATAAGCAATATTTTGTCTGGTTACGCACCCCCAAAACCCCTATCTGCGTTCGCCCCTGATGTAAATACCTACATATGAATGTTGTGAAAAACGCATTAATTTTTTAATGCATTAATGGTACTTAAGCAATAAAGTTAATGTAAAAATTAATGCATTAATTTTTGAAATGCTATGCAAATAAATTCTGAAAAATATAATGCTGATGAAATTTGATTTCATTAAATTATCCAAACTAATGCTAATGAAAAAATTTGTATGCATTAAAATTTTTTATACTTTTTTTTTTGTTCGTTTGAATTATTAAAAACCATTCAATTTTTTTCTAGTCAAATATAAATAACCTTTTTTGGAAGGACTTCGAATAATTACTAAATTTTTTTTCAGCTTCACTCTATTATCTTTATTTGCAGCAAAATTCTTGTAAACATTGTTAAATGTTATGAAAATAATAAAAGCAATGTGCGCGGAACTATCTCAGTGCCACAGATAGCCAGTTAAGCGGCCCTTGTACGACTGATTCTGATCTAAATCAATCAATAAACGTTTTTTAGGTCCATTTGACAATGTGTTTTTACCTAATTGACGACATACCAGCCTTATGTTCCGCCACTATATTTTGTACCCTCAATGTCAAAAGAGAATTTCAAATTTAAAATAAAATTAGTTAATGGGTTCTTAATGCTTGATATACATTTGATGGAATAAATTATTGTAATAGCATTCATTTCAAAATTTTAATGTTAATGCAAAAAAACTCATTAGCATTATTTCATCGGAATTGAATTGTATTGAAATTTTCATTAACATGAAATTTCAAAAATGAATGCATTAATTTTTTAGATTCACATTAAATGCTATGCATTAAAAAATTAATTGATAATAATTTTCAAAACTCTGATATGTATTTATGCCTATACGTAAAAAAGTATAAATTTAATAAGTAAATAATTACAAAATCGGCACTTTATTTTAATAAATATTAATACGACTTGATTTTAACTGATATTAATTTATCTTCGAATATTTATTTAGCCTCCTCGCCCTGTAGAACCATGGGACGACGTTATGGATGCCTCGGCTGATAAAATCGGTTGCCCATCAGTTGTCTCTATTGAATCTTTAAAGAAGTTGGACGATGTGATGGACATCGAAGACTGCCTCACATTGACTATAACCACGCCTGATATCACAGGTCGATATCCAGTTCTTGTGTACATACATGGCGAATATTTGTTTGAGGGCAGCAATGCTGAGGCACCGCCTGATTATTTGCTAGAAAAAGATATTATATTAGTGGCGCCACAGTACCGACTAGGTCCATTCGGTTTTCTATCAACAAAAACTGAAGACATACCTGGTAACGCGGGAGTATTGGACGTGTATCTGGCATTACAATTTGTTAAACATTTCATCAAATATTTTGGAGGTGATGAGAATCGGGTGACACTAGCGGGTCAAGTAGGTGGTGCAGCAATCACGCATTTGCTTGCCATTTCACCAATGGTGGGTAGCTCCTTCCCAATGTTCTTAAATTCTTATTAAGATTAATCAATATTTTTGCAGGTCCAGCATGGGCTTTTCCAACAGGCTATATACCATTCAGGGTCGGCTCTTATGCCCATTTTCCTAGAAGAAAATCCGCGAAAACTTGCTCAGGATATCGCTGAAAAGGCCGAATGCAAAATGAAAACAGTGCGGGATTTAAACGAGTGTTTAATGGATTTGTCAGCACTGGAACTACTGAGTGCCTTTATGACCCATGCTGTGAGTACCACAAAGAAATATGCTCTTCATATTTACCTACAGTTATTGTATGAATATTAACAATTATGGGTTTATAGATTGAAAAATCCGATTTGGGTGTGGGGCACACCGGTGGCATTCAGTTTACGATTGGCGGACCCAGCGGCGTGTTGCCTGAGCACCCATATAATTTAATGCTCAAATCGAACTTTTCTTACCCCTCAATGGGTGGGTGCCCTAAGAATGTTGGTTCACGACTTTTGAATGGTGAGTAATTAGAGTATTTTCATCTTCGCTTTATCATATTGAATGTTCTAGAAATCGTTGAAAATGACTTCGAAAGCATCATACCAGACGATAGTTACAGATCGTACGATTATATAGATCATGTTATTCGTCAAGTTGTGGGCACGGATAAAACCATGATGTTGACTAGTTTCATCACTCACGACTTTTTTAATAGGAAGTTGATGGAAAATGGCACCTTCAGCACTTTGATACCACGTTTAATCGATGTAAGTCATAGATCAGGAAAAAATTTGGTCCCAATATAATAGTTTACTTTCTTTTTTTTAAAGGTCGGTGGTACTTTGATGCATAAACTTCCCGTGCTACTGGCACTAAATATGAATAACAAGCACGTTCCAGACAACACATTTCTCTATTCATTTGAATACATGGGCGAGTTCAATCGGTATCGTGACTTGGACGAAGAGACTAACATGCAGAGTCCTTTTAAAGCAGGCATCTCATTAACAGATGAAGCACTATATCTCTTCCCTTACCCACAACATGTCGCCAACTTAAGCTCGCCCGATGTGTCGATGGCGAAGCGTATGGTGGACTTATGGTCTTCATTTGTGATTAACGGTAATCCTCTAAGCGACCTGCGAGCGGGATATTGGCCGCCTATGACCACATTGTATGGTCCTTACATGAAAATAAGCGAAACGTTAACGGTGAGCGGTAATTTCTTCAATGAGTNATTGATACCACGTTTAATCGATGTAAGTCATAGATCAGGAAAAAATTTGGTCCCAATATAATAGTTTACTTTCTTTTCTTTAAAGGTCGGTGGTACTTTGATGCATAAACTTCCCGTGCTACTGGCACTAAATATGAATAACAAGCACGTTCCAGACAACACATTTCTCTATTCATTTGAATACATGGGCGAGTTCAATCGGTATCGTGACTTGGACGAAGAGACTAACATGCAGAGTCCTTTTAAAGCAGGCATCTCATTAACAGATGAAGCACTATATCTCTTCCCTTACCCACAACATGTCGCCAACTTAAGCTCGCCCGATGTGTCGATGGCGAAGCGTATGGTGGACTTATGGTCTTCATTTGTGATTAACGGTAATCCTCTAAGCGACCTGCGAGTGGGATATTGGCCGCCTATGACCACATTGTATGGTCCTTACATGAAAATAAGCGAAACGTTAACGGTGAGCGGTAATTTCTTCAATGAGTTCTCAGCAACGCTCGTAGACGAAGAAAATGGTCACAGCTTAGTCCGTGAAAGTTACTACCTGCGGAGGAACCGTGCTAAGAGACGACGCACAGTTAAGCGTAATAGTCACAACAAACTTAATTGAAATACTTTCCCGGAAATACGTCATACTTTGCCAAAAAATGTGTTTAATTCGTGATATTGATTTAGTTAAATACTAAGCTTAATTTTAAATTCTTAAATCTTTTTTGCGGACCATATATGTTTGTTTACGTACTTATGTCAGTATGCATGTACTAGGAATGTCAATCCCGGGACTTTTTAAGGTCTCGAAAATCACGGGATTCTTGGCAAGTAATCCCGGGATTTTCCGGATTTGTAATTTGCACTGATGGCAATAATAGAAACTCCTTTTCTTGACCAGTATTGGCTATATTTCTTTTTTATTTAATAATTAATATTTTTTATAAATGTCTAGCTCATTGTACATATAACACCGCGCGAATGTAAATTTTAAACATAAATATCAATATATTCGCGAAACCACGGGCCAAATATAGTAAAATTGCGTTTTTAGTTTTTCACTCTCGGTAATTCAAAAATGATTTAAAAAATTCGAGGAAATGTGTTTAGAGAAGTATGGATATAAAATTAATGAGGAAATCCTGTAGAATTTAACCATATTCAAGTTTCTAGCGCAGAAGGGCTGATAAATATTTAAAATGTCATTTTAAAATTTAATCCTTGAAATTTGAATTCTTGAAATTGTTGATTCTTTTGCTTTTATTTCGCTTTGCTTTTTGTTTTNAGTAATTCAAAAATGATTTAAAAAATTCGAGGAAATGTGTTTAGAGAAGTATGGATATAAAATTAATGAGGAAATCCTGTAGAATGTAACCATATTCAAGTTTCTAGCGCAGAAGGGCTGATAAATATTTAAAATGTCATTTTAAAATTTAATCCTTGAAATTTGAATTCTTGAAATTGTTGATTCTTTTGCTTTTATTTCGCTTTGCTTTTTGTTTTCGCTCAATTTAATTTTTATAGTTTTTCTAAACAAACGAAAAAACGTTTGAAATTAAGTGAGCCATGCAAATTTTGAATTTATTTACAAGCAAATGTTTTTTTCCGGCTTTTGCAAATTGAACAAGTTCTCTGTAAGATGGTTTGTTGAAAAAAATACGTGAACATATATGGTATATGGGGTATGGAAAAAGCGATATTTCCAGCAGTAAACGTTTTAGTGTGAGCAACAATGATATTTTTTAAATAAGGCAGATCGGAATATGCGCTCTCTGGGAAGACAATAACTGTAATTACACTGTGGAACAAATTCAGGTTAGCAAAAGTTAGGTAGATTCTGAGAGTGAGGGGTGAAAATAGAGGCTAAATTAGAAGACCCGTTGGTAGTAGAGGAAGAGGGAGGCCCCCACTGCGATGGAAAGATCA